CACCACACACACTCACACACACACTCTCACATACACATACACACACACACACAGAGACCCCATTCACACTGAGCGATTTTGTAGCGCGATTTACGCTCGAAAATCGTTCAATGTAGCTCATCCAATGTATTTCAATGGAGCTGTTCACTGTCGTCTGTAGCTTGTAGCTCAAGCTTGTCGCTTGAGCATGACCTATTTTTCAGCGGATTTTCTGCACTTTGGCCCCAATAGGCTTTGATAGACCGCCAAAAGAAGCGCTACGTAGTGCGACAAAATGTGCACTGTAGCTCAATGTCGCTCAGCTCAAATCAACGCTGAAAAAGTTTTTTTTGTTTTTTTTATGTAGCTCAGTGTGAATATCACATTCAAAGCCTTAAACCTGTAATTTGCAAACTTGGCATCACATTACAGCAAGGAACATGAAGGATGTTGCGCATAGCCCATGACTGCCTATCTGATATAATACAAGTCCCAACTGTTGCCACTTCAGTTACCGATGTGGCTTCCAGATTTAAAGTGACACTAAACTCGGGTGTTTAAATCTTAAAAATACATTCAAGTACCTGAACTATTTACAAAGATGTATCTTATTTGTGTATCACTCGGCTGTAGATCCTCAAATCATCTCTGAATTTTTGCTGACACTGTCCTTCCTTCTGAGGGTGGCTACTTTTGTTCCCCATGGTCCCTGTGTGTGTTGTAAAGTAGTTACTGCTCCCAGCTCACCCCTGTGATAGACTACAATCTCAATACAAATCAGTAAAATAAACATGAGATTGTAGTCCATCACAGGAGTGAGCTTGGAGTGGTGGCTACTTTACAACACACGGAGACCATGGGGAACAAAAGTAGCCACCCTCAGAAGGAAGGACAGTGTCAGCAAAAATTCAGAGATGATTTGATGATCTACAGCTGAGTGATACACAAATAGTTAAAGGTACTAGAATGCATTTTTAAGATGTAACACCTGAGTTTAGTGTCACTTTAACTTATACATCATGAGAGCATGTCACATTGATAGAGATGGGTTTTGATTACGAATATGGATGGCAATGCAGTATGCATACAGTTAAGGATATCATTATCAAATAGAGAGGAAAATATTAATCCCACATTGTCTACCAGAAGAACATTATCCTGGGTTTGGGGTCACTTTTTACTTTAAAATTCAGTTGAAACTTCAGCTTAAAACAACTAAATACATCCCCAGTGCATCAAAACCAAAGCTGTTCGATGTTTCCAGGTCTTTTAACAGCCACAGTCTTAATAGAAAAGCCTGCCCCTTGGCAAATTTGGGACCCTTGCCTTGTCTGTAGTGAAGCAGTGATCTCGGTGCAAAGGTCTGCAATCAGCAAAGCTTATACTCCCTTCTGGTTTTTTTTTTTTTTTTTTTTTACGGTATTGATGTCATTTTTCTAGAGCAAAAATGAATAGCAGTAACTAGTTGCTATAGGCAATAAAGTAACTTCTCCTTCATTCTGTTTTAAATACCAGGGTCTGTAATACAGGTAAGCGAAAGGTTACTGTTATTGTAATGTCTCTATCATTCGTTTCGCAGGAATCACACGGACGTCCAGTAATGCAGAAGAATATCTTGACGATGAAGACTCTGATTAGTTCTCGGCTGTAAGAATAAATGCAACAGGTTTAGCTGCAAATTTGTCATTCCAGTGTGCACCTTCATTTACACAGGACCTAAACTATGCAACATCATTGGAAAGATGCATCTTATTACTGTACTTATGATTTTTGTTTATTACATTCAAAACGATAGCAAAGAAGTTATCAGGCTACATTATGTTTGTATACTGTGCACTTGACTTTTGTTACTACATCTTTTTTTTGTTTGTTTTATTTCTGGATATATGTACTGTGCCTGATTTCTCTTTTTTCAGTTTCTTTAAAATTTCATCAATTTTTTAAAATGACTAAAAGAAAAGGCTAACATTAATTAAAATGTTTTAACTTGTTAGACAATCAAATTGGTTATATTTAATTTTGTTTTTGCATATATAATAAATGTTTCTTAAAAAGCTGTTGTCTTCTCGTTCTCCAAATCCAAAAGTTTCAATTTAAGGGGGTTATTCATAAAGAAACCGAAGGGTTTTGCCGATTTTTCGGCTTATCCTTTGGCTGCAGAAAGCATCCGGTTCGGCTGAACCGAATGGCTGCTGTACGCGCTATTCTTAATAGCGTGTACAGCAGTTGAGCCGAAGGAAGCTGAAGTAAACGACCGAACAAACATGCTTCGGCTCGGCAAAGCCAAACAAACAGCCAGAGCGGGGAGAATGGTCTGCCAAAGCGGACCGAAGCAGTAAAACATATACAGTAGATAGAAAAAAAAAAAAAAAAAGCATGGAGTCCCCTCCCCAATTCATACCAGACCCTTTTAGAAATGTTAGGGGGAACCCTGATGTTAAAAAAAAAAAACAGGTTCCCTTCAAGTCATACCAGACCCTTTTAGGTCTTGTAGGGTTTTTAAGAGGGACCCCAGTGCCAAAAAAACGTGGAGTCCCCCTAAAATCCCATACCAGACCCTTTATCCGAGCAACGGCCTGGCAGAGCAGGAAAGTGGGGAATGAGCACCACCCCTTCATTTTTCACCATACCAGGCCACATGCCCTCAACACAACTGGGAGGGTGCTTTGCCAGGGGGGACCCTCTGGCAAAACACCTTGTCCTCCATGTCGATGAGGACAAAGGTTTAATCGCCAAAAACCTGGGCCAATGGTTATGGGGATCTGCGGGCAGGTGGGCTCACCTGCATCTCGGATACAAAAAATGTAATCCACTGGTCAATCACGTTGTCCAGCAATGTACATACACGTCAATCACGATGAACGACGGCCGCCTGTCCAATGCCGCCAAACTCCCACCGCAAAATTACATTTCTGGCCCGAATGTGAGCAAATGGGCGGAGCGAGGCGTGACGTCACAATTCGCTCTGCCCATTTGTTTACATTCAATTAGAAGACAGAGAGAGAGCTGGCATGAAAACAAATGGGCGGTGCAAGTCGTGACATCACAAGACTTGTTTCCCCCCATTTGTTTACATTGGAGTCAGAGCTGTTATTTTGCAGCGGGAGTTCGGCTGCATCGGACGGGTCAGCGGGCCGCTCTTTATTTCGACTAGTTGGCGGCCATCATTAATGATTGACGTGGATCTACATCTCTGGATGACGTGATTGACCAGTGGACTACATCGATGGACACTTTTTTTTTTCTTTTTTTAGAGTTTTGTTTTTTTTACTAAATAGTCAAAAACTTGTGGGTTTTTTTGTTCAAATAAAGGACTTTTTTACATGAAAGGGGGCACCCAGATGCAGATGAACCCTGCTGCCTGTAGACCCCCACAACCACTGGCTGGGCCATGGTTGTGGGGGAAGAGGCCCTTGTCCTCATCGACAAGGGGACCAGGTGGTTTTCCAGGGTCCCCCCCCCCCAGCAAAGCACCCTGCCAATGTCGAGTGCATTTGGCCTTGTATGGTGCAGGAAGGGGGGTGTACACTAGTCTCCCCCCCCCCCCCTTTTTTCTGCCCTGCCAGGCTGCTGCTCAGATTAAGGATCTAGTATGGGATTTTAGGGGGGACAGTAAGACTTTGGTGGTAACATTTCTACCAGACCCAAAAACCCAAAAGATCTGGTATGATTTGGGGAGGCGACCCCATGCTGTGGGTTTGGGGGGGGGGGGGGGTTTCTTACTATGAAATTTTTCATTCTCTGCTTCTAACCTCTGAGGTACTAAACAGAATGACCGAGCTGAAACATGAGCCAACCATTCGGCTATTCACTTTCTGCTGTTTCACCCCTTGGAGAATAGGGGGGGGGCAGCAAGGAATGAACTGTCGAATGTTCGCTTCAGCTGATCCAGATGTTGCATTGGCCAGACGAGCTGAGGCTTTTCGAAAGGGAGGTGAAGTGAGCCGAATGATGTGCGGTGTCATCCGCATTCACTGTTGCACCCTCTTATTACTAGGTGGGATTAAATTCCGGTTAAGAGTGCGATGGGATACGGACACGTCTTACTGTAATAGACTTAAAGTGATATTAAAGTCAAAATGTTTTTATGCGATTTCAAATACTAATTAAATTGCTCTGCCAAACCATAGTCTGCCCCGATACAGCTATCATCTCATATCTATGGACTGCTTGAAGCTGTTTTTTGGTAAGTGAAAAGATAAAGAAACAGGTAACCTTGTTTGTCTGTGTTAAATAGATACTCAATATGATATTCGTGTTCTCTTTTTATTATTCTATTCTGATTTCTTTATTGCTCAGTACTAAGAAGGAAATCCTTATTCAGGATTTGTTTTTGTTAGGGATGCAAAATCAATCCAAGGGTGCCAAAACTAATATGTTGTGATGTTCATAGTGTTAAGGAAATTAATCAGCATATAGATGAATTACCCAGCCCATTCATTATTGACATCTTGCAGTTAGAACTGAGAACACCCAGCTTCTGTATATGTTTGTTATGTGTTCCTATTCACACATCATAATGAAAAATAATTTAAAAAAAAATCTTACCTTTTAGATGTATTTGTGTAGTTGTCAGGGTACATCAGTCAGCACCCATAGTACAGTTCAGATCGCTGCACGAAACCATGAGCATATTTGGCACTGCGGTGCGAGTAATGCGCGAAACGTGCACGCGCAATACCATGCATGCCTGTTCTTGGCGCTAGGCGGGCTATTTAAACATGGCCCCTGCATCTGCACCTTGCTGAGAGATCTTCAGCTGTATTTGTGATTCTGTTCCTGATACCTGTTTGACCCGGCTTGATTCCTGGCTCTGCCTGCTTGCTGCCTGCCTTGTGACCTTGGCTTGTCTTCTGACCATTCTCCCGTCTCCTGACCGCACGATACCGATGTGGCTTGTTCCTGACTACGCTTCAGCTCCTCACACCAGTGCCGTCTGATCTGCTATCAACCACCAGCTACCTTTTGGCATTCAGTTGTCAGCACCAGCATATCCAAGGTGTCAAGCATTCATATCAGCCACAGGAACTCGTGCCCCTCTCTGTCTGTACAACTACTGTTCCATCTCCAGTGGGGCTCACACAAGAGCTGCAAGGGAAGGCCTACCTCATCACTTAAGGCTTACCCCAAGGTATGTGACAGTAGTAGGCCTTTGCAAAATGCTCTCTCCCTTTTAGTAACAACTGACTGTCCCCATAGAAAGAATAAGGACAGACTCCTTAACATACAATGCTTCTAGCTCTTTAACTCTTTGTTAGGATAGACATTGTTTAAATCAAGTTTACACCTAATAATGAGATCCGCCAGCACAGAACAGACAGGGTTAATTATGTTAGGAAAATTCAGTACAGAAAACAACTTTTCTTTCAGAATAGAGCATGTATTGTGCAAACAGCATTTTTAAAAAAATATTAATTAGCAATATGTAACAAAACAAAATTTGGCTGTAAAAGTTTAAATACTTTTCCGCCTAATACCTTTCATTTACGTTTGAGGTCAACGTGTTATGCTTTGGTAATACAATATTCTAAAGATAAAAATGGCACCCATTTTTGTTAATAATTGAGTGATAGCATCATGATCAATGAGGACTGCTTTCTTTGGTCTGCCTGACAGTAAAAATGCAAAAAAAAAAATCAAATATTTTGCTAGCACTACACGAAAGTATTATTTCATCAACATTATGGTAAAACATAATTTCCTCTTGTTCACATGACTTCCAATAAACACTCCTGGCAATGCTTACTGCAGCAAAAATGTCTAGGGGAACATGAGATAAACATTACAGAATATAGCATTTACAATGTAAGCAGTGTTTTCTCAACGGTGGGGTCTGACTGAAAACTAAATAGATGTTTACACTGGATAGTGGTTATTTTTGTTCTTGGGCTACCCTATGTTTTATATACATATGTGCCTAGTTTATATATGACAGGTACCCTATATAACAGTAGGTGTACCAGGTTATATATATTAGGGATGTACTATAGAAAAATTAAAGTTGAATATCATGTCCTGGAAACTAGATACAGTTGAAAATGTTCTTACTCGCTATCCTATACATATTTAATAGACATGTAATCCCGCAAAAAAAATTCATTTAATTTTTTCAGATTTCAGATACAAAATTTGATTTGGTTCATTATTCGGATCCGTCCGCGTTTTAGTTTCAGAACAAAGTCACATGACCGTGCTTGTAATGCGACCCCCAGCAGCCAAAAAAAACCATCTGATTGGCCAGAGAACAGCAACATGTCCGATTTAGTTTAATTTTGAACAAAATTCGGGTGATCCGAATTTTTGTTAAAGGGACATTCTAATCCATTCACATTCAGACTGCATCCGAATGTCCGAATTTACCTGAAATTTGTATGAATATCTATTCGGAACGAAACAAAATATACATGTCTAATGTAGACTAAAATAATATCTAGCCTGATAATATAAGGCTAGATATGCTTATTAAGCATTTTGTCTTTTAAAGTGACACTGGAGTTAATTCTAAAAATACATTCAAGTACCTTAATTATTAACAAAGATGTATCTTGTTTTGTATATCACTCAGCTGTAGATCCTCAAATCATCTCTGAATTCATACTGACACTGTCCTTCCTTCTGGAGGGTGACTACTTTTGTTCCCCATGGTCCCTG